CCCACTTGCCTCATTCTCATTTCAGCCAACATGTATAAAGCATCTTATTCTATCCTTAGGACTGGGCTGAGTACACTAGAAAATACAAGGAAACACAATGGACTCTGCTTGACCTTGAGAAACAACACCGCCTGGGGGAAAAATGCAGAGAGAAGAGGAGAGACGCTAGAATTCTGGCTTTGCCACTGAGTGGCCACATGACTGTGAGTCCTAGCTGTTTCCAGTGTTAAAATGGGCTTAACATTTTACTAGGTGTCCTAGAACAATCTGAAAATAAACTATGATAAAAGAGAAAAATACTCTGGAACTTCTAAAAAATCACTATATGTAAGATACAATAAATCATGACACAACTAGTAAATAGCAGGAAACATAGAAGTATACTAAGTACCATAATATAATACAGAATTTCTTAAAGTTAGTTAAACACAACTCTAACACAGTTCAACATCTGTGAGATGTTTGTAGATGTTCCTCAAAAAAAAAAAAAAAAAAGAGCCCCATGGTCAAGTAAGTATAGGGGACACAGGGCTTAATGATTTTTCTATTATTAGTACTACCATTAAGAGTAGCTAACATTTGGGCGCCTGGGTGGCTCAGTTGGTTAAGCGACTGCCTTCGGCTCAGGTCATGATCCTGGAGTCCCTGGATCGAGTCCTGCATCCGGCTCCCTGCTCGGCAGGGAGTCTGCTTCTCCCTCTGACCCTCCCCCTCTCATGCTCTCTCTCTCTCTCTCTCATTCTTTCTCTCAAATAAAAAAAAAAAAAAAAAAGAGTAGCTAACATTTGGTTAGGCAGTCATAGTGCTGTGCCTTTTCTATGCAACATCTCATTTAACCTCACAACAACCTTATGAGATGTTATTATCTCCATTTTACACATGGGCAAACTGAGGCAGAAGACATTATGTAACTTTCCCCAGGTCACACAGCTAGAGGTAGATGCAGGATACACTTAACCATAACACATATTGTTCTCTACTTTCTCAAGGTTTCTGAAATTCACTGTGAATCTCTTAGAGGGGGACAGAATATGTGTCTTTCCTGAATTTGGGTTTTTTTTGGAGCAACATGAAGCATTTTGGGAAATGGAGCAATAATGAAAGTGCATTCATTTTCTTTTCCTAAATTATTCTTCTTCCTAGGCATAAGGTCTACTTTAGTCTAAAGTATTTCCTTTATAATCCATTTCGCCCAAATTAGTAATCCAAGAAATACCAACTTAAAATTACCTGCCTAGGTCATTATCATAATACAGAGAATAACTCAGCAGGGGACTATGCACAGCATCCACAATACCACTTGGTTTAAATGTTTGGGCCCAGAATTTCATACTGTATAACTGGGGAGATATCCAGGCTTAAAGGGCAAAAATGTGATCAACTATTAAATAATATATATTGCAGTTACACATGATGTCCTATCCCTTGAAATTCACAACATCCCATCAAGTAAAGCAAATAAGAAAGAAATATTAAACTTTTGCTTTGCATTTATTAGCTTTATTATACTTTATAAGAAAAAAATTAAATAGGCCCATTAGGCATTTTTGTTACCAATGAGTGGATTTTCCAATATTTTCTTCATCTAGTTTATGTAGCATAGCCTATAATGTAATCATTTTGTTTGAAAAAAATCACAATTTTTATAGTCAACACCATTAAGGTAAATAAACTTAGTGTAGGATAAAGTCAATCATAACACATCAGACAGTTTTATAGAGACTTTAGTAAAGTGGATTCTCATTTCTTGATGATTATACCATTTTTTTTTGTGAGTGTGCTGAACTAAAAGCCACGGATATAAGAACAATATAACTGAAGCCCAAGCAGAAATGGAGACCAATATGAATGACAAGTGGTTATGCAATTTGGTTATCTTTACATTCTCTCCTTTTAAGAATCACCTAAACAATAAGATCAATGAAATGTCTTCTTTGTATAAGAAATATACTATGTAAAATAAAGTCCTAAAATGATCATGTTACTGCCACTCACCCTCTAAAAACAACCACTGTCAAAAACATATTAAATCTTACAACATGCGGGGCACCTGGGTTGCTCAGTCAGTTGAGTGTCCAACTCTTGAATTCAGTTCAGGTCAAGATCTCAGAGTGGTGGGATCGAGCCCCAGGTTGGGCTCAGCGCTCAGTGGAGAGTCTGCTTAGGGATTCTCTTTCTCCCTCTCTCTCTGCCCCTCCCCCTGCTTGTGTGTGAGCACACATGCACACTCTTTCTCTCAAATAAATAAATCTTTTTTTAAAAAATAAAAAGTTAAAACTCTTCCAACAATCATACTGAGCACTAGCAATGGTAGATAAATGAGATCAGGATAAGTTGCATGTTAACACAGCATTCCAGCAGTTAAAGAACTTGTGCTAAAGATGTGTAAGATAATGTGGCCCTGATGAAAGGAGAACTTCTAGCCATGCTTCTTAGCTAAAAACAAGAACAAGGCAAACAGGGAGTTACTGTTTAATGGGCACAGGTTTCAGATTTGTGAGATGAAAAGAGTTCTGGAGATGGACGGTGTTGAAGGTTGCATAACAGTATGAATGTGCCTAATGCCACTGAACTGAAGGCTTAAAAATAGTGAAGATACTAAATTTTATGTTAAATGTTCCTCACCATAATTAAACAAATAATAAAACATTAACATGATCTAGGGCGCCTGGGTGGTGCAGTCGGTTAAGTGTCTGACTCTTGGTTTTGGCTCACGTCATGATTTCAGGGTCGTGAGATTGAGCCCTGCATCGGGCTCCACACTCAGCGCAGAGACTGCTTTTTTTTTTTTTTCAGAGTCTGCTTAAGACTCTCTCTCCCTCTCCCTCTACCCCGCCCCCCCCTCTAAAATAAATAAACCTTTAAAAAGACAAACAGAAAAAACATTAACATGATTTTATGCTGTAATTTTTCCTTGGTAGATGGGCATGTTATTTCTATTTCTCTGCAACCTCCCCTTTTTGTTATTAACCTATGTTTTAAAAGAAAAGATTAAAATCTTAACATCTGGGATATTATTTCTAATAAAAATCATCTGCTGGAGTTTGGTGGTCTTATGTTTCCCCCCTGCTAGAATAAACCAGGACAGTAAATTCACAAAAGGACTTCAAATTAAAAATATGAACATGCTTGAGAGTTAAACATCTGGTTAAACAGAACACATGAATCGGCTAGGCGTCTAAAGAAATGATTTTGGATTCCATCTGAAGTCAATAAAAGGAATCCAGAGAGTTGAAGAGTTGCTAGAAATCTTTCCTGTTTTATTATATCTGGCTATAAGCATAAAAGCATTAGTAAAAGCAAGGTTGAGGCTTTGAAAATTGCTCCCTCACAGGGAACTCAAGAGAAGCAAATCAGAGTATGCAGGTTCCTTCTTCTTTCCTTTCAAAGGGCATCTGAACCCAAGAACCTTCAGAACAGGGTAAAAATTCAAGTCAGATAAGAGTAAGAAGGAGAAGAGTAAGATGAAGAAATGTTTTTTATGCAGTACTGGCGCTGCTTGGGAAGGAATGCTAGTATATCCAGGGAAAGACAAGAGTGACTCAAACCCATCCGATGTATTAGGCATAAGAACATTTTAAGGGCATGGCCTAAGGAATATGTAAGCAATATGCTGTTATTTAATTCTCTGAATTATCACAGTGGAAGCACTTAACTTTAAGACCAACTACTCACAGTACCCAGACACAAGAGAGGGAACAGAAACAGGGGAAGTGGGAGAGGGAGAAGCAGGCTTCCCATGGAGCAGGGAGCCCGATGCAGGGCTCGATCCCAGCACCCTGGGATCACGACCCGAGCCGAAGGCAGACACTTAACGACTGAGCCACCCAGGCGCCCCTGAACGTAAGTTCTTAAAGGACTAAACTCAGGAGAACAGACTCACATCCTGGCTCTACCTGCAGAGAAGACCGAAGCCCTGAGTGGGTGAATGGGTCAGCTGACTGAGAAGAAGCTTCTAACCCCGAGAAACCTAATTCTATGCCAAGCCTGCATCTGTGTGTGGAAGATGTTCTGGGATTTTAGGATGTGACCCTTCATGGTCACAGGGCAATAGGGCAATTTTTATCTATAGTCATGTGGTTAGCAAACACTTAAACTTCTAAGAACATTAGTAACCAATTATAAATTGTTTCACAACTTTGAAGATATGTATTAATATCAACATTAAAACATCTAAGGTAAAAACACAATCATAATGTGATGCAGAGTTAGTGTATATGTGGAAAACAGCTCTCTGGAGGAAAGCTTTATTATTCCCTCAGGGCTTTCTTACAGAGTATGGATTTTTTAATTCCTAGTGGAATATTTTTCATACACCATTGCAGACTATTAAGTACCAGATATTACATTATGTAGTTTAAACTTTGCACTACTGCATGAGAAAGACTTCCCTGTCGAGAGAACTATTTTTTACGGTTAGCATTTTTTAATATGAAAATGAACACTCCTTTAGGGTAAGATCACTGCTACTGGAATTTGGGAGAATTTTATAACTTAACATATTCATCAATGTGTAGAAATTCTCTCAGGGGACTCGGGTGAGGAGAGAAGGAAATATAAGAGGAAGAAGGCTTGTTAATAACTTATGGTGTCAACACAGGGCAAAGCAATGGTATTTATAAGGGCTGTCTTCCACTGGGTGCAGCTGTAAAAGGGCAGGGGACTAGCACAGGGTGCCAGCAAGTTTAAAAAAAAAAAAATGGTGTGAAAGAGTGAAGGAAAAAAATGCATTAAACTTCAGGCCAGTTAAAGGTACGCTTGCTAATGGTGGACTATTAACTGCTCACCCAGGAGAGATGGAGACGCAGAAATATTAAAAAGGCAATATAAATGCACTTTTCCAAGCAATTCCTGAGAAAATAGATGCCTTGCAGAATTTTGGAGTCAAAAGTGGAAATAAAATCTAAGTGCTGGTCATTTAAAAATCTTTGCCACGGAGAACTTGAGTACTCACATTTGGCTAAAGTGGATAGAAAGTTTAAATGAAATCGACTACTCACTTGTAGACTGTGCCTCCGTTGCCATGGCCAAGAGTGTCTCGATACCGTATGTCTTGTTCATTCATCTCCACGAGAAAGGAAGAAAAACAAAAAGGGTGTCATGCTGTGGATGGAAATGTCAAGGAAAAGCAACTCTGGGCCATAAACAACAAGCAGTCTGGGTCATTTCAAGTTCAGCTGCAAGAACGAGAAGATCAATACAACATTTGCTGTCCAATTTATAAAAGACGATACCAAGGGACAAAGTGATGGAAAGTTTAATGACAATTTGTTTGCCTGGGTCATTTCATTAAAGTTTGATAAAAGGTGTCAAAATGGAATGATATAACATAGCTCAAAAGGGTCAGGTCAGAGATACTGATAAGAACACAGTCTCCAGTACTACACATAACCAATGCCAATAGCACATAACCAAAGTCAAACTTGGGAAGACAACACACACACACACACGCGCCCGGTAATCTAATGCACAATCTGTAAATAAATCAGTCAGGTGACCCCATAGCTAACATTAAACAAACTAACTGAATAATGTTAATGATTTTCCTAAAGGAGATACAGCTTTTCTTTGGAAACAGTAAATTAGTATACAGCGGTAACTGGGTAGAAATAATATTATGCTGATGGAAAAGTGCCAAATGAGTGCACTTTCAAATGCACACACAAATATCGTAATGCATAAAGGGAAAACATATAAGCATGTGATTCCTATAAACTAAAGTCATTTTCATAATTTAATATGTTAAACAGCATGCACATTTTCCCTGGTTCTGTAAAACTATTACACCACAAATACTACTCTCGTTTGTATCCTGAATAGGAGTCAATTATTTTAGTGCCCACAAAATAATGTTTTAGAGTTTTAAAGAACTCCCTAAATTATTTATCAAATGACTTTAAGACCAGTCAGATTACATTTGATGCATTCAGTAATTTTCTACACACTGGTCCAGTTGCTTAAAAATTAACTGCCAACTTTATTCACTAAATGGATTCAATAAAAGTGTTATTTTCCATATAGCTAAAGCTTGGGAAAAGCCATAGTAAGCCGTGGGAAAAAAAAAAAATCAATTTCCAGGGAATTGCACTGCCTTGCATGGGCAGAAAATGGATGGAGTTTTTAATTCAATATCACCTGGAAAAAAATAGTTTGCTTTCAGACCATTATAGTAAAGCTTTAAATATTTTGCTCTAAACATCCACCAATTGAATAAAGCAAGCCTCCATTTATCAAGGGAAATATTTTTCTTCTATACATTTCTGAGGTTGAAGCTTCAGAGAGCTGTGATAATTAGGAGTACAGCGCAGGTACCAGAAACAGCTTCCTTTCCAAGCCATTCTGCCAAGCCCTAAAAGAATATTGACAGATTAATGTGTAAAGGCCAATTCAACACCCAATTTAATTGTAGTACAACCTGATTGATGCAATTTGCAATCAGCTAATTACTGTCTTTAGGGTCAGAGGTAAAATGATAGACAAGTCAGAAAAACTGGCAACTATTTTCCTCTTTGAGGGAAATTTTGTTCTTCATTACCTTTATATTACTAATGCAGAAAAAAGAAACCATATTTTAACCTATATAAAAGATGGAGCATGAAGAAAAGAAAACTTCATTACTCTGGACCAAATAATAAATTTTAAAACAGCAGGAAGAAGAGCAGCATACGAAATAACTTGAGATGCTAAGGTAGCAGAGCTGTTACTGGGTTTACTTGGATCAATGGGTATGAAGGACACACATGTAAATTGCAGTATCTATTTGCCAGTACGAATAGGCTAATTCCTTCAAAGCATTTCTCAAGGCAGTCTGAACAGCACTCTAAACCTCATTTGTACCATTAGCTTGCCTAACAAGCTGCACCCTTATCAGGGCCCAAAGTAAATTTCTAGGAGAACAAACCTTGAAGAGTATATATAGGATTCAGGCTCTAGAAGGACCACACTCTGAGACTGCACCCCTTCCACCACACCATCAGGGCCTTCCAGATAAAAGAACCAGTAGTTTCCTCTCAGAAAAATACACATGCCGAGACATATTGTTATTACACATTCCAACAGCACACTGGGATGGACCTAGGCCTTTGCAGGAAGTTGGAGGAAGAGAAGGCAAAGGACTAGGTATGGCATGTCTCTGAGCAGCTTCAACCATTATAATCCTGACATTGTAGTTTTTTGTTTTTTTTTTTACCTCTAATACCCAGGAGGTTGAGAAGTGCAGCAGCCATCCACCCCACATCCCCAGCATTCCAACCTGACCAGGAGTGGTAGGCATCCAACAGGGAACAGGTTGAGAGAGGTTGTATATTGTGTGTCTGTGTGTGTGTGTGCGCGCGCGCGAGCACATCCATGTGCATATGCTAAGCACTGGGTAAGCAAATTCAAGGATAGAAATTTGGACTCCCTCAGACAATAAGACTGTAAGAGCCTCATAAAGATAAAAGTGGTTTTGGAGTGAAAATTCTAAAACCATCTCACTTAAAAAGACAGTATCCATAAAAAGGTAGTTAAAGTGTTTCTACAATGTTTTAAAGTTTTATAGACCTTTGTCCGGCCTCTGAAGTGACTGATAGATTTTTATATTAAAAAAATCAGATTCTTTTCCTTTTTGCTCATTTGGATTTTCTAATTTTTATATAGTATGCAAATATTATTCACGTAAAAAAACATTTAAAAGGAAAACCATCAGAGCCAAGCTCTTGAACGGATTACAACCAACCTTTTGAGAATCTCTAATCTCCAATCAAAATGGGTTACTTTAATTGATTTTAACTATGAAAAAATCACTAACAGGATCAATTAACAGGTGAAAACATTGTTGCCTTTTTTCTTTAGATAAGCATATTAATTCAACTTTTCTAAATGAAGCACAGAAAGAGTGTTCATTTTGATACAAAAGTGGGATTTATATGCCTACAGCATACAATATTTAAATATTACAGTTGGGATCAAGTATCACAAAAATCACAGAACTGTACAGCATTTCAAATGCACAGCCCAACTAGGTCACAAAACTAGTCAATAACAACTAGTCAAGGTTAGAACTCAGTCCTTCAGTATTCTCTGCTCAGTGCCATTATCTTAGCAGCTGATGTCCTGGCTAAGTATGGAGGGACATTCTCTCCCATCAGGCTCACTGGCCCACAGGAAGGAAAATAACCAACGGAAGGGCACTAACAAGTTAAAAGCAATTTCATTAGCTGCGGTTTTTGTTTTTAAAAAGAGAAATGTTTCAAAGATCACATAGCTCTTTATAGAGAAAAGAGGTGCAATAACATTTTTATTCAATAGAGATACTGAATTATTTTTAAATATAGCTATTTCCTTGTTTTGACTAAAAAAAAAAAACAAAAACAAATAAGGGGCGCCTGGGTGGCTCAGTTGTTAAGCATCTGCCTTCGGCTCAGGTCATGATCCCAGGGTCCTGGGATTGAGCCCCGCATCAGGCTCCTTGCTCAGCCAGGAGCCTGCTTCTCCCTCTCCCACTCCCCCTGCTTGTGTTCCCTCTCTCACTGTGTCTCTCTGTCAAATAAATAAAATCTTTAAAAAAAAAAAGCAAATAAAAGGCAGAATACTAGATGTGAGAGAAGAAAAAGAAAAAGCCATTAGAGTTACAATTACATGTCAAATGAAAGACAGCAAATGACCTGGGAGAAATGACAGGCACTGGGGCTCTGCTCCTGCTGAAGGAGTCAGGGGCTGGGAAAGAAACATGGACTAGACAGGACAACCCACGGGTCATGTCCATGTGGGTAGGTAGGGGAGAGGGTCATGCAGTGTGGACTTCCATACAGTCTCATTTATGTTTTAGTCTTCATATGGGATGGAAGATGAACCATAAGAATCTAAGAGTTTTATATAGTGATCTTAATACAGCTTTTAAAGCTAATTTTACAGTAGAATTCCTATTTTTCCTCCTCCTCCTTTTTTTTTTTTGGACCACAAAAAGTTTTCCTAAAGGCATCTGAAGTTCTCAAAATAACCAAACATGCAGCAGGATCAGAATTAGTTCTAGGATCTGTGGCTTCTCAGTACATTTAATACTTGATTTATCGGGAATAGGAAAACAGTGTTACAAAATCTAAAACACAGAAAGAGGGAAAACAACTTCAGAGATGCAAAGGTCAAAGTCATTCATCCTTGGAGTAACTGTGTACTTTTTTAATCCTTTAAATTGACCCACTGGGCCATTTCTAATCAGTTTCAAATCAAGGGCCAATGTTAAAGAGATGATACTGTACTAAAACTGAAGTAGGAAAAACACATCACAAAAACACACCAGTGGCACTGATTTATAGCTCTCAATGAAACATGCCTAAAATAGCTTATGATTTGGCTTTTTTTAAGCTAGAAAAAAAGGAATCTTCCATCATTAAGTGGTAAAAGAAAACAATGTCTCCATTCCAAGGACTAAATGTTAAACTTTAAAACGTGCTTGATTTAATATAATAGTAATGAAATTAATGGGAAAAATGAAATGGAATTCAATTATGGATCAGCAAAGAAAATATTCTTTGTTTATTGCCTGCCTGTGTTAAGAAGAATCAGTACCTATCGCTTATAAATCATTAAAATAAAAATGCTCAATTAATCCTTATTTTATATGGAAAGGTCTGACAGAAACTAGTCCTATCACTAGACCTTTGCTTCACAAATCGAAGCAATAATGGTTTCAGAAAGCAGTCACACTCTATGAGCAGACAATTGGAGAGATTTAGTAAATCCCACTTTATAGAGCAGAGACTAATCGGAAAACACAAGCCAGTCAAATGTTTCTTATGAACTGTTGACACTATATCAATGCTGAATCAATTGGTGGCATTTACTCTGAGTGACAGAAAAGAAATAAATATTTATATCACATAACCTATATCAATGAACCCAGGCAGAAAGCTATTTCTAACCTGTCAATATTTGATTATCTTGAAGAATCATGTCCCTTTCTTTTAATGATTAATATGAATTCCTTATTAAATCTAAGTGGAGGATAGTGGAAAGGCAAATCATTATTAATGCTTGAGAGCATAAACCACTAAAATAAAAAACTATGCTCAAGTGTTAAAGTATCGTTAAATGTGACTTACATCTTCCATATCAAGTGGTGTCCGTGTTCAGCCCAGAAATTTGACACCTCAGCTGTGCACGTTACCTCACTGCAGAGTGATCTTGCTCACTCTTTAGTTACCCTAGAGCACCACGGAACTGAGAAATTAGTACAAGGAGTAGGTATTATGAGGACTTCCAAAGGTGGGTTTTTCTGTTTTGTTTGTTCTTGTGAATGAAAGTAAATACAATAAAGGCTGCTCCTTGACAGAAAGAAAATGTCACACTGTTTAACACAGGGGTTATCCCATTCCCAAGGGAAAACAATAAACTATCTTTAAGTGTCAAAAATCATTGTTGTGACAATCTTCCACCACTGAGAACCTCATAACTGAGACCACTACGATATTTGTGGTACTAGGTCTGTTGTCAAAACAGTAGGAACATTTCAGAACGCTTATTTTTTTGCACTAGAAATAAACTGTTTTTCATCTTTGAAAGAGGAATCTATGACAGGTTATTTTCCATTGCCTGGGCTGAACAAATGTAGTTAAAGCTTCTTAATTTATGTCAATTTTGAAATATATTTTCCAGTTAAAGAAAGCAAGTGACTCATACATAAGTTACAATTAGTAACTAGAACGCAAACGTGCTGAAGAGACATAAACATCCCAGGCTCAATGTTTCTGCTTTTCGTCAGGTTTTGTCTCGTACTGGCTCTGAACACGTTCGGGGCACTAGGCGCATTTGTGGACCTCAATCCAAAGAAACCTCTGGCTGCTTGAAGTCAAAAGTATTAGGTAAACACTCTCTAAAATTTTGAGGCCGTCAAGATGACACATACAATACCAGGTTCTCATTAGCTATAAACAGAATACCTAAGGACTAGAATTCACACACTGGATGACGATCAGATGTCAGAACCAGATCAACCTATTTTTTCCAACTGTATTCAAGCAACTGTGCTAAAGAAGCAGGGCTTCAAGAAGCACTACCCACCAGTCACCACTGTAAGGCATGCGCATCTATTAGGCCACAAAGTTACAGGTGATATTAAAGGACAAGCACGAGGACCCAGCTTTGTCTTCTTGACGGGCTCCGCTACAAGTACTTGATTCATGAAATGCCAATGAGCCTTGGAGAGGTCAGCGTGTGAAGGCACTGAATAAGCATCTGAGATAATTAAGATTTCAGCCTTCGAAACATGGACGGGAAGTGAACAGCAGTTAAGAAAATCAATAAGAGTCTTTTATTTGCAGTGACACAGATGTCTCAGTCAATAGAGCCTAATAGGCAGGCTTGATCGCAACGGACAGGCGCCTGCCTCCAAGGCTATCAAAGGGCTTCCTCTATAACAAACATTAAAACGCATTTATGTTGCTATTGAAGAATCGAGGACCCTGTAGGTAGCTTAATTTGCCAGTGTATGTTTAAAAGCACTATACTATTGCAGATGTGTCCATTTACTTGAATCAAAATTAGTGAGAAATACGTGGCCTGCAGGCCCGTCTGTCCCTCTCTGGCTGGGGTAGGTCATTTGGCTTTAGAGGGCCAGTTGACCGGGCAAACCAAACCAAGGGCTTCTCAAGCCAAGGAATTTTAAATGCCAAAGGTCAGCTGTTACTCTGTTTCCCTAAAAAGCCAGCGTTCCTTTCGGGACAAAAGAAGGAGCCAAGGTAAGAAAGGAACGGTTTTTCCTCTTCTCCTCAAAGATAATGAAAGCAGCAGACACCTCCCGAAGCAGGGCCATTTCGACAACCCATGGGTTGACACACTTGTTCAGAACTGATTAACTTTTTTTAGACTGAGATGGCAGCAGGGTGTGTGCATGGTACTTCAATCTGCTGGGAGTGAAACCCATTAGCACAGTTTGAAAAACGTGCTGCAAATTGTTCTGCCAATCAAATTAAGCCACTGTAATTCATTTATGACAGGGACACGTTCGCGGGCTCTTTATCTGTTTATTAAGTTTATGGATACAAAAACTGGACAGTAACAAGTTACTGCTACGTGAAAATCTTAATATGTAATGACACCTACCTGGCCATTGGCTAATATTTTTTTCAGTTCAGCAGAAGACTTCTTTAAGCTGAAAAGGGAAGACATGATTTTTAATGGCAAGATCATGGACACCTTGGAACACCATTCAGAATTTTGCACTAAAATACGCCTTTGTTTTAGGTGTAGACATGGACTACACTCTTTACAACCTTCTTTCTACATAAAATTTTTTCCAAAGTAACTGGCCTGATGGAAAAGGTATTAATAAAATCCTGAAACCCTAAAGCAACAAAGAAGCCTACAGTCACCATGAAGCAGACTACCTTATGGATTACTTCAGTGACCTTTTTTTGGCTATTAGTCCTGCTGCCTTTGGGTAGCCTTTCAGTGGCTATTTTATGTGGACTCTGTCATCTGCTAAATACAAAGTACTTAATGATGCATTCTTTGGATGTTTACAGAAACAAGAAAAGAGAACTTCAAAAGATAAAACAGATAGTTTAAGTCCTGATCTTTTACTACAGTTAAGAGTTATAATTCAGCTTGCTGAGAAGCAAATGTGCAGCAGAAATCAATTCTGGGACTCACTAGCTGTGTGAACTGGGACAAGTCCGTTACTCATCCTCTCTGAACTGCAATGTAAAATGGGGGAAATATCAACTTTATAGGGTAATCAAGAAAATTAAATATTACAAAAAGCTCATGCACATAGTAGATACTAAATAAATTTCAGCTGCCTTCTCTTTCCTTTTCTGTCCTATAAGTGGGAGAGCCGGCTTCCACAGTTATTTAAGAAATATGAAAATGTTCTTCTCTGGACATATATGGCTATGTAAACACCTATGGAAAAGTGGCCAGGGGATGCTCTGAAGCCCTTCTAGCTTTAAAATGAGTTAGACCCGAAGATATCCACCCAGTTAGCAGAGTGGTGTACAAAATAGCACCTCATCTCATCAATGTTCTAATTGGAAATTTAAAGCTTGTTAACTCTATTCTTTATCTACTCAAACCCTCTACCCATCTACCAAATTAGCTCTCCTCCCTTGTGTTAGTGATCTGTGTAGATGCCTTTCTCCCCACCACACCCACCCTAAGACTGGGAGATCCCCAAGAACATGGACCACATCTTGATCTCCTCTATACACTCCCTTCCCTTCCCATCCTTGAACGTAGCCCAGTGACTTGGCCTGTGCTAAGTGTTCGGTAAATGGTGGTCGTGGTTCTGGTTGTGATTTATCATACAGCAGTCACAGGCACACATACACACACATGCATTTGGTACCTTTAGTAAGTTATAATCAAGAAAGATCTCAGACTTCAAGTTTGACCATACTTGCTATTTCAAGTTATGATCATTCTTCTTTCTAAATATTTCTTAAACTCCTGCTATGGTCAAATGCAAACTATGGAGCCCCAGTCCCTACTTTCTACAGATTTTATAAAACATGCCCTCCACCAAGGATTCTAAACTTTTTTTTTTTAAGATTTTATTTATTTATTTGAGAGAGAGAACGAGCGAGTGAGAGAGAGAGCATGAGCAGGGTGAGGGGCAGATGGAGAAGCAGACCCCTTGCTGAGGAGGGAGCCTGACTCAGGGCTTGATCCCAGGACTCCGGGATCATGGCCCGAGCCAAAGGCAGACACTTAACCCACTGAGCCACCCAGGCACCCCAGGATTCTAAACTTTAATAATGTCCTCCCAAGTTGAAGAATTCATGTACTAAAGTGGCAGTTAAGAATTATGTAGAACAAGGGGCTCCTGGATGGCTCAGTTAGTTAAGCGGCTGCCTTCAGCTAGGGTTCTGATCTCAGGGTCCTGGGATAGAGCCCCATGTAGGGGTCCCTGCTTAGCACGGAGTCTGCTTCTCCCTCTCCCTCTGCCCCTCTCCCCAACTCATTCTCTCTCTTTCTCAAATAAATGAAATCTTAAAAAAAAAAAAAAAGAATTTTGTAGAATGAGACTGAAGTAGAAACACATATCAAAAAATAAACTGCCAAAATCAGTCCAGTTAAGAAAATAATAATAGCAGCTATCATTTATTGGATGATACCATGTGCCAGGCATGGTGCTAAATGCTATTACTTATTTTCCTGATTTAATCCTCACAGTAACTATAGTCCTGTGGGAATAATTTATTAAGGAAACTCAGGTTCAGACCTCCTCAGTCTGTCTCTCTTACACACACACACACACACACACACAGAGTTTTTTCCTTGGAAACATTTAGATCCTTGTATTCCCACAGATGACTCCCAATTTAACAGTTACGATTATTGTAAAAACAGAAATAACCAAACAATGCCCAGGCAAGACTTCTCCACAGATACCCATAACGTCATACAACTTGAAATAATAACATTTTGATTCATTGCATTTACAAAACACCTTTCATCCAAGAAACAAAGTGTGGTTCCTTAATACAGCTTCATCAATCTTTCTAACACTGGAGGTAGATAGATGAAAAGTTTAATCATCCTGATTTTACAGAAGGAGAAAGCCACAATATTTAGGAAAGGCCTTGACTTGGCAGTGGGACTTGAATTCAGTAATTATGGCTTAGCAACACCATGTGGCTTAGTAAGCTCAGTCTAATAAACAATCATCCACCTAAGGCAAAGACCAATTCATACTTTGAGAGTAACCGAGGAGAATGCTGATTTCATTCATTATGCAACGTCTGACTACCACTTGGTCTCATTAAAAGAAAAATTCTGGGGGTGCCTGGTTGGCTCAATCAGTTAAGCGTCTGCCTTCAGCTCAGGTCATGATCCCAGAATTCTGGGATTGAGCCCTGCGTCAAGCTCCCCACTCAGCAGGGAGTCTGCTTCTCCCTCTGCCCCTCACCCTGCTTGTGCTCTTTCTCTCAAATAAATAAATAAAAAACTTAAAAAAAAAAGAAAAGAAAAATTCTAGCAATTTTCTTTGTTCCTCAGTTTATTCAATATTTTGTTTATTTGTAATGGTCACAGTGACTTGGGCTATCCAAAAATTAAAAAAAAAACAAAAAACCATTTTAAAATTTAAATGTGATGTTATTGTAAATCTGCTATGACACTTTTCTTTAAGAAGACACTGAGACATCTAAAGAAGAGGAAACGGGTGAGGGGACAAGAAATAATGTATCAGAGAGGCTTGAATGAGTTGGGAGAATTTAAATCAGAGACAAGACTTAGAGGGAATATAAATTTGTTCACCCACTCATTCACTCAAGCATTACTGACTATCTCCTATGTGCCAAGCATCATATTGGGAATTGGGAATTCAATAATGAATATGCTACAGTCATGGCCCTCAGAGTAGAGAATCTATCGGGGACAGAAGCGATTGTAATACAATGTGCTAACTGCCACAGTAAAAGCAGGCACCAGGGGATTAGGGAAATTCATAGAGTAGATACCTGGTATGGACTAGGAGGTGGGCAATCATCAGAAGAAGGTAACAGCTTGGTTCCTCAAAGATGACCAAGGCTGGCCAGACTGGAGATGAAAGAGGGAACAAAAAAAAGGAAGAAAAGCAGGAAGGGCCAGGAGTAAGAGAAAACATGATCCACTGAGGGCACCATGCATTCATCAGCAAAGCTAGAACATCAGGTAGGAAGGGGCAGAGTGGGCAGGGGGCCTACATGTGAGAGGCTGTTGCTCACCTGCAGCCAAGGTTGCATGCTGTCCTGAAGGTTCTGAGGAGCAATGAGCAGCTATAAAGGGTAATGTTGGGCTCAGCATGCGTGTCAGCAAGATCGCTGTGGCTGCAGTGTAGAGGAGGGACTGTACAGGGCAAGACTGGAGGGAGGAAACCAGCAGGTGACTGCCACAGTCATCTACAGAGCCTGAACTGCCTCGGCAGCATCGGGGCAGCTTGCCAGTGGATGGACTCCAGTGGGACTCAGAGGGACATACGTAGGGACTGACAGGTGTGGCGCTGAGGGAGGCCCAGGAAGCAGTGAAGAATGCCTGGCAAGTTAGCAACTGGGTGGGTGTGGGAGAATTTGCCAAGACAGGAAATCTACAAGAAGTACGTTTGGAGGGAAGACGACGGGAAGAGCTACCTAGAAGAAGGAACAGCTCTGTTCTTGAGGGCTAAATGAAATCTTTATGAGTGGGCGCTAAAGGGAGACCCATCTCAGCTCATGACAAAGAGTGTTCTAAGACAGCGCTCTGTGAAAATGGACAGGCTGCCATGGCCAATAAAGTGCATTCATGCTGTAAGGGATATTCACGAAGGGCCTGGATGACCATTTGGCAAAGGGTGGGGAATCAAGCACCAAAACAGCAGGATTAGATGGGTGCTTCTCTGACTCGTTCCCCACAGCAGAGGGTCTTTTATAAACACAGCTGGCCACGGCACTCTCCTGAAAGCCATCTGATAGTTCACCAATGCCAATACGCCAAGAGGAAAACTCAAACAACAAGGCCCTGCCGATCTGACTGGTCTACCTCCTTCTCTCCTATCACTCCAATGGTCTCCTCCCCTCTCTCCACACCCCCCAAACCAGCACCCTTCCCTGGGGTCCAGCCAGACTGGCCTACTTATGAACATACTGAGCTCCTTTTCCACCACAGGGCCTTCCGTGATGCTCTCCCCTCCCTCTGAAATGCCCTTCGCTGGCTCTTGACATGGCTAGGCCCTTCCCACGCTTCAGGCCTTGACAGAATGTCACTCTCCTCCCAAGAAGTCTTCCCTGAGCATGCTGTCCAAATCTAAACATATTCCTGCCCAGTGTTCTCTCCCTTCAAAACCTGCTTGCTTCCCTCATAACACTAATTATAAAGTGTGATTGTTTGTATATTGGTTTGTTTTGTTTTGTTTTTCTGTATGTCCACTAGATAGCAAGCTCTAGAGGATAAGAACCACATTGTATTTCTAGTGCATAGAACAGCACCTACTGAATAGGTAGCACTCAATAAATACTTTTGATTAGTTATCAACATGGGACACAGAACATGGCCAACCTAGGGTGGCATATTAAAATCTATGGTAGGTCTCTTTCAAACTGAACTCCTCCCATAACAGAAGTCACTACTGGAGGAAACCACCATCACTAGCTGGCAGGCTGTCACTTCCCTAAGGAAAGACGCTGCAACAAAAGGTTAAGAACCACTAGATCAGACAGTCTTCAAATTTCTATCCAACCCAAAAATTTTATGATACTCTGTGAATATACACAGCAATTCTTTAAAAACCAAACTAATTTATTCATGCTATTAAAGCTAAATCTCAGAGAACTGAAAAGTTATCCTTGCCCCTTCTCTGCCTTACCATTTTTTTCAACTCTATCCTCCTTTTAAACCACGATGAAATGGGACCTAAAATACCAGAGAAGGGCTCAGGATGAGTCTGTCTGAGTAACAACTTTTCTGAAAGTAGTGGTAAAAATTAAATGCCGGGCCTTCCTTGAGCTGAGTGTAACAAGTGACCCCAGCCCAGTGCCTCCACTCTGTGGGGCACGGCTCACAGGCCCAACAAGCGTGAAGAGAGAAGCTGCAAAGTATCACATGGCAGGGCCAAGCCCTAGAATGAGGACTAAGAGACCTACCCCTCGTGCCCACAGGACAGATGAGCCTCCGGTGAATAACCAGGCTAAGTGTATTTTAAGACAGAGTAAATTGCTTAAGAAGGAGACACACTTTAAAAGTCGTGTGTTCACAGCAGGAAAGCTGGTGAGTAGATAGACTGACCCTATAGTAAAGTAATCGAGGAAGTGACTTCTGTGGGGGGAGACAGGAGAGTAAAAAGAGAGTCAGAAGGAGAGACTTTAAATTACCTCCAGGAAAGCCCTCTGGCAAAAGAACCAAGACTCTGGGTTAAGGAGGGGCAGGGAAGGAAGAGAAGAAACCCAAACTACATCTCAGTCAATAAAGGGCAATACTGGTTACAGCCCTAAACCCAGAAAAGCCTGGGCACAGAATGGAAGGGTGGCTCAGTGCTGGCTTTTCAGTCACCAGCATGAATACTCACACACAGAGCATCACCTCCACAGTGTCATCTTCACGTACAGTCATGTGATGTTTACTGGCTGAATAACCTCATGGATAACCAAAATGACCCAGAATGCTATCGGCTTAAGCAGGCCACTCCTTCTACCTGAGGATGTGATAATCTGGAAGTAAATTCTCAAGCTTGTCAGAGGAACACTTTGAAAAGGCTCTCAAATCTTTAGTACCCCATGCCAGTGTGGGGTACCGTTAGCATGAATTAACGAAGATTATCTTCCTTCTATAAGTAGCTTCAATCTTCGGTATGACCAAAGATATAAGAAGAGCAACATGGTGGGTCAATCTAAATTTCCCTACTTCACTCTTCCCTTGCCTCTTTCCGGTGAACATGTCAGGGGATAACAGTAGTGCCAGAAGATGGGCAAGCAAGAAAAAAATAATGAGCATTATACAATTTACGAACCAGATCAAGGCATGAAAAGCACTGAAGTCAAAGGCACTGAATTTTCTGTACAATTTGGAGACTGAAGGAATACCCATTCCACAGACCAACATTAATAGTTTAAAATGTCTCATTCCATTCTTCCTCAGTGAGGCCTTTTCTCTCTAGTCAACACATAGCTATGGTTACCCAACTGGTCAAATTTCTTCTCAGCCACATACACATTCGCCTGGTCCTACAGAAACGATGGGTCATCCCACAGGCCTCTTCCCCACCCCCACGCTATAGAGAAGCACGCTTACGGGCACACTTCACTAGCTTGCCCTCACCTATTGCTTGGAAGTGAATCAGAGACTGCTGGGCTGCCGTGTTGAGAGGGTCCAGCCCGGGTATTCACCTACAAGGAAAGAAAGAATCTCGATCAGTCTTGTATTCTGAGGACACAGTTCCAATTAACCTATAATTTGCCACAAATTTCTCATTTCACTATGAAGGTTAATTAGCTTGTTGCTAGATAGACCCACGGTTGGCGTCTATTCAGTATATAGGTTACAGAACTGTACAACCCGTATATTACATAATACACTTTTCCTGTCATTATTCAAATACTTAAACAGCATTGAAAAAAGGAGAGCTAAATGGGAAAATTTCAATTCACTGTCCAGAACTGAATTCAGTTCACTGTTTTGTTTTGTTTCGTATACAAAACAATATGTCCAAAAAAGAACATTAAGAATAAACAGAGGTTAATGGTGAACCTCAAGTTTTCATATCCTTCCAGCTCTAAAGCCAAACAGAACACTAGAATGTTCCTTATTCACCGAAAAACGAGGTCCAAATAATTAATTATAAAATGCTTGAATCTAAATACAATAGCTTTTCTTTCAAATGTAAAGCTATAAGCAGAAATCCAGAATTCAAAAGACACAGAACAATGAAAAGTAGATAAGTAGATATGTTTCTGGCATAAATATGTCAAAAGAAGAGGAGAGTATTCTGTGTGCAATATGCTTATGTGCTTAATCACTGAAATGTAGTCTATATTTTCATCCAAATATATTGTTGCGGACACCAGTACCTAAAATCTTCCTGAAGAAACAGACCAACAAAAAATTCCAAATAATAAAAAAATATGGTACCAAAACCCTTCTATCCAAATATGTACATATACTGAGCAAATACTACAGATGAATCCCCCTCCACATCCTGTTTAAAAAAAAAAAAAAAAAAGAATCGCTTGTCAGAGCTTGAGAAAGTGCAGTTTTATTTGACATTTCAATAAGTGGAACACAGCATTACAAATCCATCTAACTTTACTGAAACAATTATTGAAATTCGTACCTTCAGGCCATGTATGTTCCGTTCCCCAGGAGGCTTGCAGGCTGAAACAGTAATTGACTAAATTGTAGAACACATCAGGGCCATTTACAAATTTGCTCAAAATGAATCGTTTAAAAAGAAATGAGGGTGACACCAAAATTAGCAGAGAGAAATGATTGAAAAGTGGCTCCCAAGACCCAAAGTGGGAATTATGAACCAGGGTTTTTAACTTGCAGGAGTGAGCATTTATAAATGCAAAGAGCTTTCTGACACTACCTCATATAAATTCCAATTTCTGCTTAAAACATATAAAAATCAAGTTAACAGAGCTAAAATGATTAGATTCCTTTCATAATTCAAATTTCTGCAATCTTTCCTCAACTCTATTACATTGTATATCTGCTATCACTTAAACTACTTTGAAAATATCTAGGTTTTTGGGGGAGGGCGGGTAGTAGGAAAAGAGTATTTTAATGCCAGAAAGATGGTTAGAGATTCTAAACTGGAATATTCAAGTTTGAATACCAGTTTGCACAGCAATAAGTAGTCAAATTTATTAAAATACAGAGATATCACTAATTTTACTATATTTTTTGCAAATCTTGACATCTTCTAATATTTAAGTCTAAAGATAAAGCAGTGCCAGGAAAAATAATATTAATTTCCTGACACCACCCTGAGTTACAGGGTAGTACTTTTCCAATTCAGCAAATGCTTCTTCATCAAATGTTGAAAATACAAATGTTTCCAGCCCATTTTATAGGCTGCTTCCATCTGAAAACTACAGTGCCCTACAGATCGTATGTTAAGGGGCTATCAATTGTGATTGATTGTTTGGGGAAGGATATATTTGACTTTTTTCTCCTCTCTCAGATGTACGTGTATTCTTCCTCTGTTTCTGACAACAAGAAATAAAACTGTTTAATAATGAGAAGATGTGGGTAATAATTACAAGGCATATCAGTTGCTTTAATTTTATATATTTTGAGTATATTCAAATTTATTGTTATTTCCTAGAAAATACCTCTAAACCTTAATAAAGAACTTTTGTTTTTCCTAAAATACATTAAAATTAGGACTCCAAATCTTCTTTCTGTAAAATGGAAATTAACTTTTTGAACAAAACCAAAGTCACATACATTTGATGCCTGGTCCTTGAGGGGCCATTACTTCCTAAGACAACACTTCAGAGTATTTCCACTTAAGTACCCAGTACATTCATAAACTTCATTTAATAAGAAAGTGGCTAACCAAGGAATTAGAGACAGGCATCAACTCTTACCTCTTACCTTAACATCTGCCTCATTACTCAATTGGCTTCTCAAACCTTTATGATTGGAAATCTAAAAAGTATTAAAAAAAACCCAGTAACCTCGTATTTCCTAAAGTTATGGAGCCAGAAGTTACATAAAGCTAGTAAGTTTTCATACTTATTAATACGTAACATGTCTTTTAACTACAGAGAGCAAAGCCATGGGGTGGGAGTTACCATCCAAGGCAAATGTCTTACCTGGAATGAGGAGAACATCTGATGTTAGAACAAAATCATTTTCTCCTACCTTTCTCACTTGGTTCAGTCTAGAGATTCTTTTCAGCAGGGGACCTGACCAAAGAAACTAAGGTCTGGGAGCCTCTAACCAACCTATTAACCCAGGCAACCTGCCCAATACATCTATATCCTTGTATAAGTTTACATAATCTCATTTATGTATATAAAATATAGATAAGTAAACAAAAAGCAAGACTACAAAAAACTAAAAAGAGTTATACAGGGGTGCCTGGGTGGTTCAATCAGTTGAGATTCTGACTCTTGATTTCTGCTCAGGTCGTGATCTCAGGGTTGTGAGATCAAGCCCCACATCTGCTCCTCTCCCTCTCCCTCTGCCCCTCCCCCCATTCACACATGCACAAGCACGCTCCCGCTCTCTCTCACTCTCTCCCTCCCTCTAAAATAAATAAATCTTTAAAAATGAATAAATAAAATAAAAATAGTTTTACAATAACATCCAAGAAACCATAGAGATGGGGGGGCTGAGTCTCATATTTTAAAAAATTCAAATCTGGCTTGGAAGAACTTTATTAATAATTTATTGGAGCCTGATAGGTCTGTTCTAGGACTACATGTGACAATCACATCTCACATACCATCTTCTTTTAAGTATCTTCTCCCTATAATATACCTCTACACTCCTACCAACCCCTCCAGACTACCCCCAAGCACACTCCATGAATATTTTCATTTATATGCCCTTCCACTTTAAGCAAATTATAATTTAAACAAAATTCTTATTCAAAGTGTATACTAACCACTTATAGGCTGTTGTGGACTCTGAAGTTACTTAACCTCTCTGAACCTGCATATTCTCATCTATACAATGGAATCAATAGGCAGAAATATCAGGAGAATGAGAAATGATAACAGTTAAAGCAATATTAATGCCCACAGAGCAGATGTCTAAAACCGGTCGTTACTCCCATGAGAGGCAGCACAATGGTATGGACAAGAAGACTGCAAAGGACTGCTCAGAAAATAAAAGAAAAAAGACAAAATTGGAAAAAATTTTTGGATGAAGAAAAGTAAATCTTTTATTGGGGGGAGGGCCACAACCCACAGCATCAGAACTAATTTTCCAGGTCACTTGTATTAGAGTTTGCTACAACAACAGACTTGTAGGGAAACAATGAATGGAAATTTTCAGCTGGTAAAAAAAAAAGTATTCTTTGTGGAGAAACAATTTTGAAACTTGCCCAAACTCTCCCACCATTGAAGATAACAAGAAATGATCTGCATCCCTTGTTATTGGTCTAATGTATAGAAATGGCAACATTTGCTTTTCTTTTTTTCTTTTTCTATTTTGTTTTTAGTCTTCAGATACAACAAAATTGGATTAATTATAATTTTTGTTTCAGACACACTATCAATGGCCCAATTTTATTTACCTACTTAGCTCTTTGATACATTATTAATAATGTACTAAGTACTCCCAATCCCACTGTCCACCTTAATGCTAGAAAGGCATTACTCTTGAACCCAGACCTTCTTGTGGGCTAGCCGAGTCAGCTGCCCTTGGAGACTTGATTAGTGTAAATAAGAATCTACTGGTTAATTGAGCCACTCAACTTCAGAGAGTTACAGGTAATGAAAGTCTAAACCGTTTAATTGAAAAACCCATACCATGATTATTTGTACAGTATCAGTTAACAAAGGTAAGTTTAACTTTTAATGATTTCAATTAAGTTATTTCTAGACAAGTTACAACATTTCCTTATCTGCTCCATCAGTTAGAAAATATGAATTCCAAGTGTGGCAATGTATAGTGAGGGAAAGACTTAACGGTTTATGTTAAATGGTTGAGTTGTTCTTTTTTACTAATCTTCAAATTTTGAGGGAACATTTATATACAGTTGATCAATCGTATCTGATACAATGCTAGTTCTGCCCACCTAAAAGGGAAAAGGAATATTATTTGACTACGTGATTCACCAAAACTTACCCATAAGCTAATATTTTTGGAGACTTGACAATTCCCATTTATGAAGATTTTCCATTATCTGGAAAATGTCATCTCCAAAAACCAAGCACCAAACATTATCAATTCTCTCCTAAAACTGTGCAGTAAATCTTCGCCTCTGTACCAGCTGAAAGCTTTCTCCTCAACAGCAGCTTTGGCTACCATCATGAGTCACAATTTATAAATATCCAAAATTAAAGTCATTCATTTGCCTTGGTTTAGGAACCATGTGGACCCCCAAAGAGTTCTTTAAGCGAATGTAAGTACGTACTTCAAAAACAAAAAACAATCTAGTTAGTTTAATTTACTCCAGTAAATTAGATATTTTATCTGGTATAGCTATAATGTAGCCTGCAATCCCCACAATGATGGAATACTGCTTTTGTTTTTTCAAATTAAGAGCTAAACATCATGTTATGTGCATTTAAACCTTTGGAAAACATAACTGTTGATGAAACAGTTTACTGAAATAATCATTGTTGATTAGAATTTGTTTAACATTACCTCTTGGAAATATCTGCAGAGGCTCTATTAACTGTCCATTTACTTGCTGTTCCATTACTGTGGAATAATACTGCAAAGAGATTATAGAAAGAGATTACTCAGTAATGTATGAATACTGGAACAGACACTTATGGGTTGTTTAATTCATAGTACTTTTGTAAATTGCTGGTATACACATATCAGCCTCGAGAATACTTTTTCCTATTTGTACATAAAAATGACTATAATGATATATTCAGGATTGAAAGTCCAGTATAATGTTATCCTCCACACTGTCATTTATCTTTAAAAGTAAAAATGTTGATTAAGATTTTAGTATTTAATCTCTAGAAATATTTTGAAAATGACATGTATTAAAAATAACACAAAGCTTTTTAGTGGAAATTTCTCAAATTGCCTCTTGTTCTTTTCTCTGGGTTTTGCAAAGCAAAATGAAAACACTTAACATTTAGCTTGGGCCTATGTACCAGGTAATAGATCAAACATTATACATATTTGTGTATGAAATGTACAGATAATGGAAATCTAAATCATAGAGACTGTGGAACAAGCAAACAAGATATGATCCATCCAAAGATGACAGGATTAATATGATAAAAAGACAGGTCAGTTTTAAGCAAACATCTTTTATACTTCACTTTTATAAACACGTTAGTAAGGAGCAAATTTCATTTTAAAACTCTGGGCACAAAAAATGAAGTTCCAAATGAAAAAGCTTTCATGCTCCTTCATAAACACAAATTCATTCACCAGGTTGTATTATGGTCTGATACCCATTTTTCCTTAATTTGCTAAGTGGCGAACATACGTCCACCTAACCTGGAGATGGCTTCTGTGCCCTCACTTCTTTTAACACTTGACAAACAACAAAGTGATGCTCTTGGTGGAAAAATATCAATGATGAAAACCACCAATTTTGTGTTTTGAGGCACTGTCACACGCACAGAGCAGAACTCTCCTTTAGTTCTTGCTATTTCTATATTTAAAACACGTATTATCTAACCGCCACCTTTCTGGAAATTCTTCCTTGATAATCACTATTTGCCGACATTCCAAAAAAGTCTTTTTTTAGAAGATACAGACATACATCTTCCTAATGCCTTTATGCATATTAAAATTATCACAAAATCAAGGGGGGTTTTTTTGTTTGTTTTTAGAAATAAAGGGGAGCTATGTAATTCTACATCGTCTTGGGAATTACAAACTAACAGTCTAAGGCTCTTTGTCCTAAAAACAAATCAAGTGGATTTTTGATAGCTATGGACTGATACGAGTGTACCGCACTCTCCAAGGGCTTCCAAACTGTAAAGGAAACTGATCCTCTCCTTCTATGGACGTAGAAGCCTATATACATACGGCATAAACATGTGTGACACACTCTGGAATACATACTAAGCCGAATGTCTTTCAGGAGACTATATTCCTTAAAACCACAGAAATACACTGCTCGCCATTACTCAAACAGTGATGACAAGTAAATGAAATATCCATCATGTAGGCTGTCAACCTTTTGGGACAGCAATAACTGTTAACAAGTAGTCTGGAAAAATTGTCCGAAAATGACTTGTCCTCAGCACACAAGTATTCGAGGTTTCCATGGAAAATTAAGATGCCAGTGGCTATTTGGAACATTGCTCAGGTATTCTTTTTAATGGGAAATTTGCCGGTTATTGATCCACAGCATGTACCCCCTTGGTTCTGGAAGGCTGCAAGCAACTTTCCAATCAGTGGCTGTCAAAAAAATTACTGCCTTTTTATACTGATACAAGACAACAGCCGTGGTGGTGTTCTCCTCTAGTTAATGCTTTTCTTTAATTAACTGCTATGTACAATAGGTTAGTCATTTCAGTTTCTACTTCACTACAGTCCTAGAAATCAAAACAAATAAAATATCCCTATGTTTTATCTAACAAATTAATTATAGAGTTGTCTGAAACTGGTGCTTGGGGTCAAGTTTGAAAACAAATAACCTCAAATGTAAAGGGTCAGCACAGGAGCAATGCATTTTTTCCTACTATAAAACCTTGCATGCATGAAATTGACCTGTTTTCCAACTTTATTTATTTACCTCACAAAATAAATAAATGTGGTTTCCCTTTCATTTCAGATCTGTGCCAAATCAACTGGCAAACTATATCTGCTTTTATAATCATTGTACAATTTTTTTTAGCCATCTATCAACATCTCTTTATGCTACCATTAACACGGTCACAGTAATGACATTAAGTGTGCCACTTGCCAGTATCTCTAAAGCAAGCAGTTAGCATTTGTCTTTTGCTTTCTACAATTCTTCCAAATCCAAGGGACCTTTTTTTTTTCCTGCTGAAATACTGGGCTTGATCTCTGTTTGTATTACCAGAGAATCTTGTGATCCATATAGCAAAGGGTGGTAATTAATAAACCCATGGCTTGGGCCCACTCTAGGCAAGTGGCTCTGACGAGCAGGCCGTGTGCGGGCCGGCTGGCTGCCAACGAGGCACCAGACCCAGGAGCTCAGGCTGCTGCATATGTAGCGCTCTCTGTGGAGTAGGGATACAGCGTGAGGCCACGCAGCCTTCCTGGCACACAGCAGTCCTGACAGGCCACAGGCCTGTATCACCCAGTGAGACAAGCAAGGAACGTGGGGAGTTAGAGGAAGGACCCCAGTGCGGGGGCCCGAGCACTGGCCATTCCGCAGCACACAAGCTCAATGAGGAACCCCTGGCTGCCCCTCGGGTTACTCCTGTAAAATGAAGATGCTACACAGCCAGAGGAGCACCATGAGACTCACGGGAGGGACAGAAGTGAGCCCCGAAGCTGCAGAGCAAGCTGTTTCTAGATCCCGGTAGTCTCTCAGTGTTTTTAGAAATTCTCTCTTTAAAGAGAGTCTTTCCAATTTTGTCCTAAATAGTGATAAAATAAGCAATAATGACTTCCACTAGCCCAAAACAAACTGGAGAAAACAAACAAAAACCTCAATCTTGTATGCCAAGATACTTAACATGGCTTGGACAGAAAAGTGACCAAGTGACCATGATAAATTAATGGGGCCATAATTTGAAGCTATCCAAATAATTGCCCAAACGCAATCTCAATAATCCTATCCCGGCTTTTATTATCCCTAACATGGAGCCCTGCACACAGTAGGGGTTCAATAAATATTTACTGACTGAAATGGGGCCTAATTCTGATTCTGCTACCTATTACGTAGCCAGTCCACTGAACTTCACCGAGCCCAGTTTCCTCCAAATGAGAGTAAAGCTAGCTAGTCTATTACATAGGGTTGCCGTGAAATCAGCCTGCAGCAACAGTGTTTGTGAAGGCACTTTGTAAACTGTAATGCATTACTGGTGGTTGAAAAATTAAAAAGTGAACCTCCTACCACTAAAACAACAGCACTTTCTGAATAGGAGTCTTCCCATATTTAAAAATACAAAAATCGTTAGGTACAAAAAATACAAAATATCGTGCTCAGACTGAATACATAAGCAGCAGTAATAAAATGTGTTTTCCGCTGGTATTCCTGGCAGAATCTGTTATATGCAGTAATTGCAGCAATAATCAATAAGCTAACTGAGTAAAAGATTAATCAGTTTTGTGATTGCTAATGGAATCTCCAGTACCAGACTCAGATTAGTTTCAGAGTCCCTCTGAGATGTTCTTCAAAATCCTTAAACAATTTTAATAAGGATGTGACAAAGTTTAGCACAGTTATCCAAAAATCTAATTAATTTGAAACAGAGGGCCAGATTCAATGAGGGGATAGCAAGTACAATTCTTGGCTTGTTTTGTTTGCAAGTTTATCAGTGTTCCTATTTGTTATGAACCTAATTCTAATTCTAACAGCACAATTCAATCAATAATTACATTTTTTTCTTCATGGAAATCTGCCATATAAAAAACTTGAGTTCTAAAACAGCACAGTTTAATTTTACAAGGTACCAGTTCTCCATTAAGAGAGAAAAGAGAGACAGAGAGATACACACACACACACACACACAACTACTTACTACCTACTGTGTACTAGGCTCACTACTAGCTATTTGTTTATTCACTTAATTTCTCACAATCCTATCCTATTCTGCAAGTATAATTCACAGATGAAGCAAACAGTTTATCAGTGAACCAAAAAAAAAAAAAAAACAACTTCTTTAATTCTAGTCCATGTACTCAGAACATAACTCTGTAAGAGTCAAAAGGTAAGTTATCTCTTATTTCTCAGACCTCAAAACGTTTAAATAAACCAGGCTACTGGGCAGCCTGCTGAGCTGGTGGGAGCATGGCTTCTTCAGTCAGACCCTGTGTAGGTTAGGCCATGTCACCGATCTTTCACAGACTAGGGACGCATGGCACCGCACTGATAGGTGACCTCCCCCCTCCTTCTTCAGCGCCCCCCTCTGGTTTTCCTCCTCCCTCCCTGACCATTCTACGCAGTTTCCTGTAAGTGGTTGTTTCCTCACCCCTTCTTTAAATGTTGGAGCTCCCCATGGTTTTTCATCAACCTTCTCTTCTTATTTTATACTCTCCTTGAGTTAACTTCAGCCACTTCAAAGGTTTCAATTACCAGAGGAGTCATTGAGACTAATTAGGAGCTGATGAATCACAAATCTTTATTTCCAGCCCAGATTTCTCTCCTAAGATTCGGAACATACCCAACTGGTTGTCCAGAGGCCCCTCAAATTCAACAGGTTTCTACCTCTCTCACCCCTCCCTCATGCCCTAGACCCATCTTCCGCCACCCAGGCTCACTGTTTCAGTGAATGACATCACAATGACCTAGTTTCCCAAGCCAGAGAGCTGGAAGGACGCCAAACCACTCTTCCCTTCTTTCCCACACTCAGCCAATCACCAGTTTTATTAACTCTACATTTTTCCAGCTTCTCAATTCCTTCAAGCTAGGGCCCTCCATGATATAGTCCACCTTCCTTCCCAACCCCATCTCATACCCTCTCCTGCCCCCCTGTCCATACCACTGAATCACAGGGAGCTCCTCCTGAACACACCAGTCATCTTTACACCAGAGCTTTGACATACTGTTCTCTCTGCCCAAAACATCCTTCCCAGTCCCTTTGTCCTACCTTATTCCATCTA